AAGCCGCGGCGCACACCGATCCCCCCAAGCCCGCCTCCCTCCCTGAGCGCGCCCCGCCCTGGGAGGCTCTCTCACCCACGCCCCCCTTCCCGTCTCTTCAGCCCCGACGCCCAGACTCGTTCCAACTTCCTGAGAGCAACTCCGAGAGCGCGGGAGAGTCCATTACCCAGGTTTGTTCAAGAAAAACACCCGCGACACTCGCTCCTAAAAAGGCCGAGGCGCGGGTTCAAGGGCGTGAATGCCGACGCCCAGTCGCACCCGCCAGGGTCCATGCGCCGGAGCCCTTTCCCCGCCCTGCTCCTCGGGCCCTTCACCTGAGTGGCGCGTCCCCTAAAGGGAGGCTCTGCGATCCAGGGGGTGCCGGCCCTCTTCCTTCCCACCTGCGCTCCGCCAGCCCGCCCGCGGCTCCCCGCCGCTTCCCAGTCCCGGCTACCCAGACAGAACGCCCACGTCCCACCCGCCTGGAGTTTCCCAGAGACTGCGGGTGTCATCATGCGTTTTCGGCGTTAAGGGCTAGGCTCCCGCGTCCCTCACCCGCTCACAGACCACGGGCCAAGAGGTCGAGACGTGCCGACGCCCTGGCGGACCCGATAGAAATTGATTCTGGGGGCGAGACCCCCCCCCTGAAACGCGGTCACGCCCTGAGCCCGCACACCTCCGAATACGCACTGCCTACTGCACCTGAATGTACCCGCGGAGCGGGCGGCCGGTCCCGCCCGTGGCGATGACGGGCGCGCCGCGTGTTGCCCGGCGAGCGGGCGGGTCGGAGGCGCTGGAGAGGCGCGGGAAGCGGGTACTCACGACTCCTGCGTCCGCCTGGAGAGCCGGGGGGGAAGCTCCGGCCGGCTGGCCTCCGTGGGCCGCGCGCCCGCGTCCGGCGTGTGTCTGATGATGATGGTGATGATGATTTAAATAATACCAAGTGGTGTCCTTTCTACGTCGCGACTGCTCTCTCCGGCTTTCCCCTTCCTCCGGCTCTGGCTCTTTCCTCCCGCCCTCTCCCCTCCTCTCCTCGGCTCTGCCTCCTCCCTCTTTCCTTCTCGGCGGGGCAATCCCAGGTCTCACCACCTCCCTCTGGCGGCCGCTCGCTCCGCCGCGGTGCGGTGCGGTGCGGGCTAGCGGGGGTTGCCCGAGGCCCCACGCGGGACCCAGTCCATGCCGGGACCGTAGCCTCCCTCCTTCAGCCGGGATTAGGGAGCGCCGACAGCGTGGGTGCGAAGCACGGCGCGCGCTGAGGGTATTTGCAGAGCCCCCCTCTGTGATTCCAAGGCTCCGGCGCTCAGAGGCCCAGCGAGACCCCAAAGTGCGGGAATGCGTGTTCCAACCTCGTGAATGAAGAGCGCCCAGGGAGGTGCGCGTGCTGGGGGTGCGCCGCGCAAGGCGGGGCTGCTCCGGCCATGAAGTCCTTGCGGAGGACCGCCCCGCCCCTGGAGGGCAGCCTGCTACCTTCCCCCTTTCCCAGGGTGTTTCTTGGAGCTCCGCCCCCGGCCCACCTCGGTGCACCTCGGCTTCTGGTTGTCCCACCCGCCCTGGGAAGGGGGCTCCTGGCACACTCGGGCTAGAGGGAGCCAGAGGCTCCACCGAGTTGCGGGGCAGCGGGAAGCGCTAACTTCTGACTCCGGATTCTGCTGAGACCCTCGGCAGCAGCTCTCCGTCCCCAGGGGACTCCGGAGTCGGGCGTCAGAGGGAGGCCCGGAGAGTGGAGGAGGAGCCTTGTCGCCAGCTCTGCCCGCAGGGATCGCCGAGTGTCCCTAGAGACCCCAGCTTGCCCTCGGGAGCGAGACGCAGCTGGACCGCTGGGGCCGCGCGCCCGAGCTCCGAGAGCTAAACTGAAGCTGGTTGCTGACCTGAGACAAAAATAACATCACGTCATTTCCTCCCCGGCCTCTCCAGCCGGCAGAAGCCGACAGGGCAGGGGAGTGGGCGCGAAAGGAGGGGCCGTAGGCCCCTCTGAGGGCGCGGGGAGGAGGGGAGGGCGACGCGCGGGGACCCGGAGTCTGAGAAGCAGCCTCGGGAAGGACGAGGGCTTCCTCCCGCTCCCGCGGACCCTGGAAGGAAATGGCCCAGGAGAAAGTAGCTCGGAAGGTTTCCCGAAAGGAGGGGCGTCAGGCGCGTCGAGGGCGACTTTTCCGTGGACGCGCTCAGCGCCGTCACGACCTCCCCGTCCCTGTTTGCGGACCGCAGCCCCCGCCGCCCGGCGTGGGGTGGCCCGGTGGGGGTTAGGGAGGAGCTGGGGCCCTGCGGGCGTCCGGGTGAGGCCAGGGAGGGGCATGGTGGGGACGACGGTACTCACGGGCACCGACGAGCGCT